TACTCGTACAGATGAAGCTTACAGACGCTGCGGAGGCTACAGGGCTAATCCCTTCTTCGCAAAATGGCTTTCGTAAAGGGTTCAGGACTCAAAATAATGGGTTCATTCTCCGTTCATTGATAGAGAAATCAAGAGCAGCGGGGGAAACTCTCTTTGTTGCATTCATGGACATATCCAATGCCTTCCCATCAACAAATCAAGACGTACTGTGGGATCGACTGGAGAAGTACGGGATGACGGGGCGCTACTTCGACTGGCTGCGAGCGGTCTACGGCCGAATGAAATATATGATTAGTGTCGAAGGCCAGCTGTCACCGGAATTTCAAGCGCTATCGGGTGTGCTGATCAGTGATCCAGCCTCACCACTCTTATGGAACCTATTTCTAGCAGCTCTTGCCCTCCCAGAAGATGAGGACGATGCAGATCTAAACGGGGTGAAAATCGCGCATCTAGAACATGCAGATGACATGGTCATTATGTCAAGAACAGCGGCGGGCCTGCAAAGGCATCTTAATCATCTGGACCAATGGTGCCGAGAGAACTTCTTGGAGCTGAGCCCTGACAAGTCGAAAGTGATGCAATTCGGGCCCTTACTCACAAAAGACAGTGGGCTCACAGGACGTTTCACAATGGCTGGAGAAGTTCTGAAGCTGGTAAAAGAGTATAAATATGTGGGAGTAAAATTCACATCGGTGGAGCGCGACATTTTCGAGAAATGCTATGTAGAGAAGGCGCGTAAAGCGAGGACATCAGGATGCGGAATCTTTGGGACAGACCGGTTGATTGGACGTCGGAAGCTCCCTCCGACAATTGCGCGAACACTCTACACAGCGCTTGTAGACTGCCATCTCGTATTTGGTTCAGAAGTCATAATAGATGTAGGAGCGAGGGGACCAAGCATATTGTTTGATGTGCAGAAGCAGTTCCTGAGACGCATGCTGGGTCTCAGCAAGAAGTCGACACTTGCTGGGCTTTTCACGGAAACGGCACTGCTGCCATTACAATATAGGCGCATTATGCTAACGCTCGGGTACCTTGTCTACTTGTTGAGGAGAGAAAAAGAGGAGCGAGCGAATGGTCTGGTTCCTTCATACACGTCACAGGCACTAGCGGAAAACAACCGGCTGAGAGAATCGAATAAGCAATGTTGGCTGATGGACATGGACTGGGTCTTGCAGAATCTACCGGGAAGTGAGGGGAACCTACGGCTTCCACCGTCGAATTTATTGACAGAAGAACGGGTTTCTGACCTGAAGAAGCGAGTCTCTGCTATCGCCTGTCAGCAATTACAATACCAACTCAACACGAACTCGAAACTAATCCTCCTGAGGGACAGATTGGAACCCGTGGACCCGGCAACAAAAGATAAACCTGCTCATCATACTCTCCATATTCGGCACTATCTCAAACGCGTCCAAGACCATAGACATCGAGTTATCTTGACGAGGCTACTCCTGGGCGACCTATATCCATCGGTTTTCAGAGCGCGGGCGGGGAAGGAGTGGGTTGATACCGACAATTGGGAATTCCTGAAGTGTAGAGGTTGCGGAATTCAGTATGAGACTCCTGAACATGTCATTTTCCGATGTATGGGTGACGTTGAGGTGGGAAGACTCCGTCTAGCATTGGTGAGGGAAATTGGTAAAAGGTGGGAGGACTGGAGGAACTACGAA